TAAACTAATATAATATATATATATTACTGTTTCCCTCGTGAGCCATCGTATGTTTGCAATATCCGCAAAGTAAATTGGCAACAAATCGGAGACTTTAATAACTGAAAAAAAAAACCTCTGTTCATATTTCCCACGAGAGTTCTTGCCTTTCCCTGTGAACGTCCATTCAATGTCGGAGCGGATTATGATGGGTTTATTATCTTCTTTTTTTTTCTTTTTTCGTACACATTTAACGCTCCCATGGACATAATTTATGTCATTTAGGATGCGGCTACCCTCATTCCAGCTTGGAAAAGGCTAGCATCCCCGTAGATAGACAGTGATACTTCACATTTTTGTAAACTCTCCTCTTGGAAATCAGACTCATACCATCTTCCCGCAACTGAGGCTAAGGGTCTAATCTTTAAATCACATAATATTATGCTGGTAATATGGTTTAATGGATGAGCTCTATGCCTTCCAACCAAAGGACGTAGGTTCGAAGGTGTTGGAATGAGGGGGAGGTGGGGGGTTCCTTTACAGTATAAGCCATAGTTCCCTCGCTGATCATGGGGTTCATGTTTCAAACATCTTGACTTCTAAGCGATCTAATAAGCTGTGCACACTGACAGGACTGGTTCGGTTCGATTCGGTTCAGTTTGGTCGTGGGTGGCTATCTGGATTTTCCTCCAAGACAGAACCGAGAAAACTTACCAAAAAAACCGATGATGAGTTTCAATAACAAACGCCGTTTTTTTCAAGGCCACGCGTCCGGCGATCGGTTTGGACAGTTCGTTTGTTTATAATGTGCACTGAAACCGCCAGAAACAAAACCGAACAGAAACGAACCGATCCTCCAACGGGCACAGCCTATAAATTGTTTCGGTGCAAGTGTAAACATTCTCATTCGCATAAACTCCCTGGGGCGATAGTGGTGCAAGGCTTTGACAGACGGAGCTAGACCAGATGAATAAATAGTGTTACAATTCTCTTCATACAGTGAAAGTGAAGAACCAAAGAACACACCCACTATTTTAGTGAGAATTGTACAGTATTTGCAACAAGGAAAGGTCAAATAAGTGCCGAAGATTAGAAGTGTTACTAGAGAGTAACATACAAAGAGAACAAATTGGAGAGATAAGAGTGATAGATGTCTAATAGGGATGAAGGAGCAACCCATAATACCGGAACTAGTAGCTAGGCTACCAGACTCCTAATCGTGAAGTTGCGGGTTCGGGAGTTCAAGCCGCGGGCCTGACGTTGTGTCCTTGGAAAAGGCACTTTTAACGAATTGTCCTCACTTCACCCAGGTGGGAATGGGCATCCGGCCAAAAACAGTGGAAGATCTTGTCAGTATGTTAGTGTTTTAGCGCCTATAAATGGCTGCCTGCACTGTGTGCTTCCCAGGAAGCTGAGGTTGTTTCAGAAAGCTCTCAGGTCTGCTGGGGTAATAGTATAGACTATGAAACGCTTAGAGCCTGCTGTTGAGCGGGAATTTGCGCTATACAAATGCTATCTATCTATTATTATTAACACCCACCAACAAAAACTCATGTCC